CTTTTCTTTCTTTTTCTTTCTTTCTTTCTTTCTTCTTTCCTTTTTCTTTCTTTCTTTTTCTCTTTCTTTCTTTCTTTCTTTTTCTTTCTTTTTTTTCTTTCTTTCTTTCTTTCTTTCTTTCTTTCTTTCTTTCTTCTTCTATGTTCCGTGTTACTTCAGTACTTGGGCGATCGTGGTTCTCTTCGACTTCCTGTCTTTTGTAACTCTTACCATTGCCCGAGCTATCTTTCCTATGCCCTGTTCTGTCAGCCATTTATACAGACTTTTTAGAAAGGATCCTCTGCCTAGAAATATCAGCTGTCTCTTTCTGATTCTGCGTCTAAGTGTCCTTTTTTGTTTCCATTTCCTTTTAAACGTTCTTCACGTGTTCAGGCCATGGTATTCTCAGCCTCCTTCACACTTAGCGCCTCGAGTTTCCTTTTTTATCTGTAGTGAGATCGGGTGAAACTATATTATGATATCTACGGTGGCATTTGCGACCCAATATAAATGACGGTGCACTCATTATTGTTGGAAAATACTCAGAAGAAAACAATAAGCTGTTTACTGTTTTTTTTTTAAATACATCAAATCAAATTATAAACATTAAAGTCCCTGCTTGACGAATTTTGTATTAAAAAATTCTTAATGTTTTTAAATATGTAACCAGTTCACTGTCCACTGCCTTTAATCCTAACCCTAACACTAACACGGGCATATTTCATACTTTCAACAGATTTTTTAAATATCATACTATAGTACAAAATGGATAGTAGATATCATACTATATCATACTATAGTACCACCCAAGATTGTTCTGCATTTACAGCCATATATGAAGATCGACATCACATTAAATTTCAATACGCTTTCATTTATTTCTAGCGAATTTTCTTGATTTTTAATATTTCACTTAACTTTTCGAAAGCATTTTTCGCTATCCAAATGATCCTTCGGTTTCAATACCACATTTACTTGCTCTTTTTGTGGGAAGTTTGATTGCCTGATACACAAACACACACACACACACACATATATATATATACATACATATATATACACACACACACACACACATATATATATATAATAATTTAAAAAAATATATATATATATATATATATATATATATATATAATTATTTATTTAAAAATTATAACATAAATATGTTATAAAATCACTACAAAAATAGACATTTTGTTTCAACATCATAATTTCTTATCAAGTGATGATGTCGAAACAAAAATTTTGCATTCATTTTATCAAATATTTATGTTATAATTTTAAATAAATAATTATATCTGCTCTACTATGTATTGAGCACTCTTTTAAGAATAGTAATTGTTGGTTATTGGAATTTATTTCCTATACATAAATCCTATACTTGTATATATATATATATATATATATATATATATATATATATATATATATATATATATATATATATATATATATATATAGAGAGAGAGAGAGTAACAGCAAAACCCACGAAATGTTTAATATGTAAAAAAGAAACACTAAACTGATTGAGTTTCTTTATCCAGGTTTTCAGATTAAACGTTTAGCCATCTTGATACCATTTGTCGTAAGAATCACTGAAAAACCATTTGAGTTATTCAGCTAGAAAGGGAAAAGATTAAAATCGTTTTGTGTCAGCCTCATTCAGCAATGGTGAGAGGAAAATCATTTCAACACTTCAGTAATGGTGCCAACATTCATACTCTTGTTTCCATTTTCAAAGTCCATTCCAGAACCATCAAGAGAAAGCTGAATAAGTTTTAGAAAGAGGTGAGTGTAAAAAGGAAAATGGATCAGGTCACAACAGCAAGAGGAATCATCATTTCAACTTGCAGCTAAATACATTCTTATTGTTCAAATTAGAGTCTAATAGTGTTATAAGACCAACGGAATGTTTCAGTAAGATATCTTTAATCATTTGCACGATACAATGGTCCAAGTTTAATCTAACAATTTTGCTACACGATTTGGACAATTTGTTCGTTACACCGAGTATGTTATCGTTCGGTGATTGAGCACTATAGAGAAAAGGGGATTTTTTAACAGCTGTTGCTGCTTTAATGCTTTGCTCTTCGTAAGAATTGAACGGTATGGCGGACAGTATAGCGTTTATATAGCACATATATATTGCGTTAAAATTGTTATATCGCAAAAGCGCAAAAAATGTAAAATCGGTCGAGATTCCACCACAGATGAAAGCAATCAAGCCACACTGATGAGATGTGATACAGCGAAACAGGATGTATCTGGATAACTACACACACACACACACACATACATACACACACACACACACATATATATATATATATATATATATATATATATCTTGACAGATATTCGGACTAGTTGCATTACTTAGTGCTACCTTCAGAGCTCGAACTCGCCATAAAAAATTTGAATTAAAATAAGCTTTACCGGCATTAAATTTATTGTTATTTTTCTTAGGATTTCTTTTCACAAAACAATCATTTATTTTTAATCATCGGTTAAATAGAGTGTATCGTAGAAATTGCCGGACAAATATATATTTGCAAAGCAAAAATTTGCTTGACATTTTTTATGTCAGAGAGTTTTTTTCTTTCTGTTAATAGGGCTGTGAGGAATAGTCCCCCCTGCTGCGAGGGATATTCCCCCGCCTCCTGCGAAGGATAGTCCCCCCTCCTTCATTTATTGGCGGTACCATGATATTCCGAGAAATCGGAAAGGCAATATAAACGACTAGTAAATCGAACGGAAACAGGCAAAATCATTTACAAGTGAAATCACGAATAACGAATGACATCTCAGAAGTCGAGCGTCGGGGTAGCGGCTGGAAAAATGTAGAATGCCATAACGAGATATCTGAAAATAATTTTCTTCTGGAAAAGGATTAATTACGTGTATTATTGATGATTTATATCAAAGCGAAACACAATACGACAGGAGAATTTGAAGTAGAAAAAAAAAAATAACACAGCAGTTTTGCGAAATGTACATTGAATCAAAATGAACAAACTTGTTTCTTAAATGGAATTAGATGTCTCTTAGCGTTTAATCTTCTGCTGTGGCATAAATTCACCACAGCCGCGCGTGATAAATACATAGGAAGAGAATAAAAAATGGAGACATTAAAGAAATATCTAAGTTCAATATACAGATATTCGGTGAAATATTGAATTTGATTGAATGAAACGTTAAAATGTTTAAAGGAATAACACAAGCAAAATTTAAAAATCTAGTACAACAAATTTGAATATCTAGGAATTGTTTCAACAGGATGAAAAGTGCCACACTGATATCCGAAGGCTCATTGGGATAGGGGAGGTGCCTTCTGAAAGTTAAGCAAGTAATCAGAAATAGTGTGTTGTAACCTAGGCAAGTTTACTGAATAGAATAATCACACAAAGGTTGGTAATGAGCGATAATACTTAGGACAAGAACAACACATATAAGATTCGCCAGTGGTACGTAGAATTATTAGTCGACTGCTAGAAGTGAGTCAAGTGAATTCCACAATGAATCTCCAACTGAAAGATATCTACCAAACGCCCCATGCGGTCATATGTGGCACAAGGCCAAATTTAATGTGGGGTATCCAATCCCGAAGGCTCGGACAAAAATTCCCTGTAGACGCCCTATAAAACGGGGTCGGGTAGATGTTTCCCGAGACGAGAGACTGCCCTTCGACATAGCCTCCTCTGGGGAACCTCTCTGCCCGCAGGCAAAGAGTTTCACCAGCAGAGCTGGAGACGAATAGCCAACTGCAGACCAACATACAGTATCTACTACTGTATTTATGTGAATGGGGACATACCCATTATCGTTCGTAGCTATGCTAGAACATAGTGGATAAAGGTGTCGGTTAGATTCAGTGACTAAACCCAAGGTGTTTCAATCCCAAGCTACAGCAGTGGTGACCCAAAGGACCTGGAGAGTTGAGTTAAAGGGAAATACCTGAGATATCCGGAAGAGGCATGTCATGTGGAACTAGAACAATCTATCCCCGTTGTCGAAATAAAGGGCCCGGTTCGAAATTTCAATCACTTGTTGAAAGCCGGGGCGTACAACGGCTGAAACGTTGTGAATATGGCAATGAAGATGAGGAAAACATTCTTGATAATGTAAATAATCATAATGCTTCACCTCAGAGATATAGACAAAGAATAATCCAATCCAATTTTGCTGATTTTGGCCATCACACTTCTGGCCCTGTTCCGGCCCAGATATCAACACTCTAGATTATGCTGTTTGGAGCGTTTTAGAAAATACTACTGATAGAACATCTCATCCTAACGTTAACTCTCTTATGGATACTATCGGATATGTGTAGGACAAGATGTCCTCTGCCTTTTTGTAGTAGCTTGAGGAGGCGTGTGAAGGCAATAATTGAGAAGCAAGTAGGATATATCGAATGTTTCTTTCGTTTTGTATTTTTATGTTGGAACCATTCGTACTTCTTTAAATAAACTAGTTAATCAACTTGATATAATGGAATATGCGTACACCTGTGTTCCCCCTCACTGGAATATGATTGGCTGGTGTCCGTCATAAATACCGACGGACGTGTAAGAGAGTCAAGAGCGTTAGTCTGAGAGCTAAGTCTATAACGACGCCTATTGGCCTACCCCATTGATCTACACTTCTTACCTGAGACTACGACACGTACCAGTCGATTACTGCTACCGTATTCTACTTGGTTATAGTAGCCAAAACCACTTAGCTACTTCGTTTAAATATATCCCTTTCCGGGGCATATCACAACTATAAGGCTTTTCACTTCAACACCAAAATTATACAGAATTTGCCTCCACTCTCTGTATGTTTTCTTTTATTAGTATTTTAATTCAGTCTTACGATGTTCTTTAGATTGCGCAGTTGGAATTTGTTTTCATACCTTCATTTGGAAACGATTTCTGATCTTTTGTTTAGAAGCTTATCTTGTTCTGGGAGCGTAATAATAACGATAGACTTAAACAAGTCAGACTGCATTGGAAATACCTAGCCTCCCGCAGGCACACTCACGGACACATAGATAGATAGATAGATAGATAGATAGATATAGAGAGAAAGAGTGAGAGAGAGAGAGAGGGGGGGGAGAGAAATTGAGAGTTAATACAAGTAAAATGTTTCATCATCCCGACTCCAGCGTTTTTTTTAGACGGACTCACCGGGAATCACTCACTTCACATGAGGCATCCGCAGTTGGCTGATGGCGTAGAAAACGGACATATTTAAAATATAATATGAGAAAGAAAGAGGAAAAGTAATACATAAAAATAGGTGTAGAGTTAATCTTTTTGCTCCTCTCTTATCAAAGCTCAATCGAGGATAATTCAAATGAAAAATTAAAGAGAGATAACTATTAAATATTAAATATTAAATCTGACACTGAATTCCATTAGAATATAGCATTTGGCTACTGTATTCTGTCTTAAGGATCCAAGATTTTGTACTGATCTGCAGGTTAGTGAATGGTGTTAATTATAGTTCTGTGTCCCTTATTTATCTGACACGTTTTAATTGGAATGTACGCTCATCTTCACAAGAAAATCAAAATAGGAAAAACAGTAATGTTATCAATGCTACTGTTAGTTTTTTTTACTAATATACATACAAAAAAAGCTTTCTCATTTTCCTAAATTATCTCTCAATATTTCTCGAAATGTGTTACAATGAGTCAAAAAGATGTCCCATAAATTTTTTTTAAAAAGCTAATTCTCATATCACCATCATATTACGTTGAAATACTGATTCTCGCCAGATCTCTGAAGTTAAGCTACGTCGAACCCTGTCATTAAAAGGAGAAAGAGGGACTGAAAAGGGACAAATTTTGGAACAAGAAAATATGGGAAATCTTGGAGAGTCGTGCTCGCCCACGTTATGAAATAATATGGCATAAAATAAAATTAGATTGAATCTGTTACTATGTATTTAATCATGAATTAAAGTTTAGACGCATTTGTTTAATTAATCCCGCGCCTGACATTATGGTCTGTATAAATAACAAATTCTGAATAGTTTTGTTCTTAACAACGTAAATCTTCAAGTTACTACCCTTCCGAGTTAAATTTTACTCAGAGAAAATTGCAGAAATCCGTTTTCCAACATTGCTAAAGGCTTTAGACCATTAGCAGAAATGTTTGCTTTTATTTGTTCCAAAACCTTTCTAACAATATTAAAAAAAAAATCAAATACCTTCATCTATATCGACTAAATGGACACAGATGTGTAAAAGAAAAGATGAAACCAGCTTGCCTATAAAATAAAGAAAGTGCTTCTTTTTTTCTTTTTTTAAAAAAAAAAAAAATTAAACAGCTTCTTGAGATTAAACAAATTCAACACCTGGAATAATAGCAAATAAAAGTGATTAAAATAAAAACAAAACATATTTTTCGATTAAATTTAATCTGTTTCTGTTTTTATTTTTCACCTTCTGTGTGATTACAAATTCAATTCGCAGTGGCACCAACCGCTATTTTGGATCATTTCGAAGTTTATTTAGGTTTAACGACTTTCAAGATGGGCTTATAATAAGCAATACCCTTTTTTTTAGTTAACGAACCTTTCTCTGCCTCTAAGCGTGAGATAATTTTTTTAAACACATCCCATAATATTTGGCTATTAACTTCTTTTGCCATTAAACATTTTGCCTTAATCGGATGTTTAGCGTGTCACTTGTGTACACAAATATCGACTCTTGTTGTTTACGCACAATTCCCGTAAGAAAGTATTGTATGACGATGCATTCACTTCCGGGGAAATTATGCAAGTGAAATAGTCGATAAACGTGTAATATTACAAACTCTTTATGGTGTAGAAGAGAGAATAATGTGAAGTTCTTTTAACTTTTAGGGCAATTCTTGTTGATTTATTGGATTTCATGTAGCTGAAAATATTGAAAAGGGTTAGAAGTTGGAAGAAAGAAAGAAAGAAAGAAAGAAAGAAAGAAAGAAAGAAAGAAAGAAAGAAAAGGAGGGTGTGGGCAAAAAGGAAGGAAAAAAGGAAGGGGACATAGGAAGGAAGGAAGGAAGGAAGGAAGGAAGGAAGGAAGGAAGGAAGGAAGGAAGGATGACAGGGAGGTAGGGAGACAGGAAGGAATGAAGGAAGAAAAGGTGGAAGAAAGAAAGAAAGAAAAAAGAAAGAAACGAAGGGTAGGAGCAAGAAGGAAGGAAGGAAGGAAGGAAGGAAGGAAGGAAGGAAGGAAGGAAGGAACGGTGGGAGGAAGGAATGAAGGAAGACAGGGGGAAGAAGGAAGAAAAGGTGGAAGGAAGAAAAAGGTAGAAAGAAAGAAAGAAAGAAAGAAAGAAAGAAAGAAAGAAAGAAAGAAAGAAAGAAAGAAAGAAACGGAGGGTGGGAGCAAGAAGGAAGGAAGGAAGGAAGGAAGGAAGGAAGGAGGGGACGTAGGAAAGAAGAAAGTGTGGGAGGAAGGAAGGGAGGAAGGAAGGAGGGGACATGGGAAGGAAGAAAGTGTTGGAGGAAGGAAAGAAGGAAGGAGGGGACGTAGGAAGGAAGAAAGTGTGGGAGGCAGGAAGGAAGGAAGGAAGGAAAGGAAGGAAGGAAGGAAGGGAAGAATGAAGGGAAAAAGTAAGGAAGGAGGGGAGGAAGGGGGAGCGAGGAAAGAAGAAGGAATGAAGGAAAGTTATGATAGGTAAGAGAAAAAAGAGTAGAACGAATCAAAGGTAACGGTAAATATGAAGCGGAGTGGGAAAAAGTGAGAAAAGTAAAAGAAAGAGGAAAAAAAAAACACTTATGTGATTAGTGTAAAAAGCGGAAGGAAGAAAAAAAGGATGAAAAGAGAGACGAGGAAGAAGAGAAGGTGAAATTGAGAAATTGAAAATTAAGATAACACAGTCATTATAAAGTCGCTTAATCATCAAAAGGAGCTGGAGTAAAACCTTAACAAGTAGTAGTAGTAGTAGTAGTAGTAGTATTAGTATCAGTAGTAGTAGTAGTACTACTACTACTACTACTAGTAGTAGTAGTAGTAGTAGTCATAGAAGAGAGGGGAGATGAGTATAAGGAAGAATTGAATAAGAAAAAGAATAAAGAAATTCAGACTAAGCCGGGAGAAGTAAAGGAAGAATAAAAAGATGAAGAAGACCGGATGAATAACAGTAAGAAAAAGAAAGAATATAGCACGAGAAGAGCTGTGAGAAAATATTTTAGCCACATATGGAGGTTGAATAATAAAAATGGTCTTTTATCCGACCACAGTCGAGGTCATAAAGTCCGTAGCCCAGTTAATTATTAAACCATAATCATTTCAATGTCTGTATAGTATCCGTCTTACCATACCAGATTTAGAATTAAGAATTTTCCTTCTCTTAGACTGGTTGTCAAACACGGATAGAAAGACCAGTCTGTGGCGTTATTTAACTCAAAGATGGCGGTGAAGAACAGATAGATTCGTATCATTCCAAAATTGTATTGATGCGAAACGAAATCTAACTAGCTCGGCTGGAATTCAAACTCGGTTCGCCGATTCGTCTATTCGATATTCTAACCATCTCATTAACCGCACCCTCACAACGAGTAGTTTTCCTCAGAGGTCGATTCGGAAGAACGAAAGAAGAAAAGAATAAACATCAGCAATTAGAGAAAGAAATAGTTTACGAGAAATATAGATATTTAAGTTTATCAAAAGTATTGCCCTATTTACAAACCTTTATTAGAACGCTTTCAAACATTGACCCACTACCTATGCCCACTTCTATTTGCCACATCCCTCCAGGACATAGGCGATCATGGCTCTCCACAAGATTCTATTTCGTGTGGCTCTTAGCCATTTTTCTCCATTTGCTACAGCCCGGCACTCTGTTTTTCGATCCATTCACACAAGTGTCTCGCTGTTTTCTATCTATCTTGCCCTTAATATGTGTCTTGAGGGTTAAGTTTTCCGTGCTCTCCTTCCTCATTATGTGTCCAAGGCGTTTCAGCTGTATTTCCCTGATTTTAAATATGAGTGTTCTTTCTGTCGCAATTTTCCGTTGCAAGATTTCCTCATTGCTTAGTCTCTCCGTCCATGGGCATTTCAATATCCTTCTGTAATCTAACGTAATAAACCCTGACTGTTGCAGCTATGTCCTGTCTCCCCGGTGGTTCCGGCCGAAAAAGAAATCCACCCGATCTTCCTCCGGTGAAGTGAAGGAACAACCACTATTCGCCACGTTGTGAATTCTTGATCCGAACAGCATTGTATCGGCCTCCCCAAAGCGATCCGGTGGGAAGGGGAGGAAATGGTTGGGTATTACGCTGAAAGGGAATCACTATTCATGCAAAAAAAGTTTCTTGTCGTAGCCGCAAAGACATGAAAAGGAAAAATAAGCAACTCTTTTGGTTCCTGTACAAAGAGCCCTTTTTAGGCCACTGTTTTTATGTCACTACCGAACAATTTACACGAGTACAAAATGTCGCAACGAGGTTCACTCGTTTGGGGTCGGAAGTGACAGAGAGAGAGTAGGAAAATTTCTGCCTAAACAATTTCGGCTGATCTAAGGGAAGTAATTCGGGGATCTTCGTCGGAGCGTGTAATTATAGCAGTTTGCTTTCTCAGCTTTGTTGGCAAAATTAACTGGTTTCATACAGGGTCTGTTTCTATTTCTGGGTTCGGATCGTGACAACCAACCAAGCGGACCAGCAAAATCCAACAAGCCGTCTCTTCCGCGTTCTTTCGCGTTCTAAGATTCTGCGATCTGACTAACTCAAGCGTGCGGGCAGCTTATATATCTCTCTATGCCACAGTAAAACCACATTTCTGTTGCTTCTATTTTTTTCCAAGTCCTTGAGGAAATTATCCAACATTCACAGCCATATTAATGGATGAAAAGCACATAGTAATTCAACTCACCTTTCCTGGTTTCTTACGACATTTTCCCGTTTCTCAGCATTTTGCTTAGGTTTTGGGAATATCTCTTTTGCTAGTCCATCACATTTTCGGATTACGATGACGCATTTTCCATCTTGCGTTAAAACACTTCCCAGATATTCGAACGTATGCATCTGCTTGGTTTTTGTGACGTACGGTGGCCGTTAATAATTAAGTATAACTCAAGACTTCAATGTTAATTAAAACATTATTTAATTAAAACCGCAAATAAATATGTAACATGGATAATGAATTAAGAGTCAATCAAAGATAATTACCTATTTCAGTGAATACCTTTTTAGTAGCGCGGCTCGGCTTAACGTCGGGTAAATCCTAAATGAAACCCAAATCATCGACGTAAAATAATTCACACTAATTCGACTGGATAGTTCCACTCAATATTCCCTCAATAATCACTACAGTCAGTAGCCTGACACCGCTATTTGTACACCTGGCGGAAAACGTAAATCGAGAGTGTCACGCTCGAACCTTGGTGTCGGTAGTTATTCATTTTTTCTATATGACATTGATGTTCATAGCTCCAATTCGTAGCACGCATTTCGAGTGTTGCATCTTGCTAATGACCATACATTCTGCCCTCTTGCAGTTGATGGTTCGTCTTTTTTCTCGCTTTCACACTATAGCTTCCCTTCCGTGTCGGTCATCACAGTGTCATCTGCGTATCTTATACTCTTAAGATTGCGCCCTCCGATAATAAATCCTGGTATGGTCCACAGTCAGTTAAGTGCCATGCGTGATACACTCTTAGGTGATCATGTATCTTTCGATACATTAGTGACGGTTTGTACTGCTATTTACCGATAGCTGGGGGGGGAAGAAGAGGATTCACACCTTTCCAAAGGGTATTAGCACGTAAGTGAATGTAGTGGATTCGACTGTAATTCGAACTTGGCTCTCCAATTCCTCTATCCGAGCCGCCATCCATTACTTCACGGTGCCTCTAGAAGAATTCCTGTTGAATCCATTACATTCACTTACGTGGTAATACTCTTGGAAAAGGTATGAATCCACTTTGCCTCGCAGTTATGGGTAAATAGCAGGACAGACAGGATTCTATAGTCTTGGATAGCAACTGGTCTACCGCAGAAAGAAATGGCAACCTACTGCAGGAGAAAAATCTGCCTAGTCAGTCTATTTTCGAATCACGCATGGCACATAACTGATAGACTGATGCTCCACAGTCCCTTTAGGATGTCGTCGCTGTAAATGTTGAATAAATCTGGGGAGAAGATGCATCCCTGTTTCCCGCCAGTTTCTATTTTCGTATCACTATTCAAATTAATTGTCGACACTGTTTCATTTATTTTTAATATGTAAAAATCACATATATGTTGTTTTAGAGGAAGACATTCTCTAGCCCAATGATTCTCAATTGCTGTGCAGCGGCAGGCACACTAGTGTGCTTCGGGATCCTCTTAAGTGTGTCACTAAATAACATCAAAAATAAGAAACGTGAAAGACTGCGCACAATTCAAGACGAGTTGAGGGTTAGCTTATTGTACATTCGATCAAACATTGAAGGAATTGTGAAAAAAAAACACCAGGCACAGGTTTCACACTAAATAAGTAAAAACAATTAAATAAAAACAATGAAATAAAGTTAGTTCACGTTTGTGTGTTTTTTCTTTTTTATTTAAATCTATGGTTCTATTTCATAAAATGTAAATGTATATGTTATGGTCTGGTTCCTTGTACCACGGTGATAGTCCAAGGTAGAACTAATAAAGAAGAACTCAAACACAGGTATGGAATAACACAGATATATTACAAATAGAAATATATACAGAGAAGTAGAAATGTTAGTATGAACAATCAGGTTTAGTAGAGAGAACAATGTAGTCTCGACCAGTATCACTATTCCAATGTCTTGCAATAATTGTCTGAACGCGACTCTGTTTCGGACTGCCTCTGACTCGACTCTTGACTCGACTTGAACTAATGACTCTACTTGAACTACTGATTCCTTGCTTACTCCTGAGGCGCAGTATTTATTAAGTCCATCATTATTATTATGGGTTAGATCCCATAACAGCATACCCTTTAAAAAATTTGCTAAGTACGCCGTTAAATTTTTTTATTTGCTTCTAGGGGTGACATTGCTTAAAAAGGTTGAGAAACACTGATCTAGCCTGTTACCTCTTTCCTACAAACGCCTATCGTTAAACGAAGACCAAAAAAGTTAATTCTAGTAATATTAGTGCTCATCTAATAAAATACATTAATGACGTAATACCGCTGCTAATAATATTAATATGAAATAAATAAAAAATAATATAACATCCAGTTTACTCGTCAAAATAGAAAGAAGTGTTTAAATTTAGATATGATTTTATTTTAGACGTTAGACATTCATAATTGAATCGGTGAGTGTGGCTGATGAGTTCAAAATCTTATTTATTTTCGATTCGTATTTTCTGTCATTACCAAAGATGGATGACCGAAATAAGGCTAATAAAAATCATCTAAAAATTAAAATTAAATCAATGTAATAATAAAAATGAATAACAATGAATGTTAGTACCTTGAATGTTGGTCCTCTCTACTATAAATACCATTCTCAGTTCTCTTATTTGGTAGTATCGCTGGAAGCCAAACTTACTAAATAGCAAATACTGCTTAAACGATACTTGTTTTTCCAATATATTAGCATCTTTAATGCGCACAGGTGTGCATTAGTTAAATGTTGATTGCACACGTGTAAGGAATTATTTGCAAGTGGATTTCGGAGAATGTCCAACAACAAGTAATAAATTCTTGATCAGCTTACATAAATAAACAACTATACATCAAAACTGGAAACATGAACACCAAAATATTCTTTGCACCAACATTAGCGCAACTGATATATAAAAAAAGACGAATTTTGTTGGTTATATGTAGAGGAAAACGTTGGCGAATCATCTTAGTATTTTATATGAAAGCTCCGGTTCGTTTCTCAACATAATCGGTTTATGATGTCGGTATCTTCTCCATAATATCGTTATTAGGAAACAATAACACTGTACAGCACTGTTACTAACACATTTTCGCTTATTAGACTTAAAAGAATACATACAGGTTGGTCCGAAAGTCTTGTCACCACAAAAGTCATCAGAACAATAGAACATGTGAAGTCATGTCGCGCAATCTCTATGCTTGTCATAATTAACACGATCATGAGTTTATTCACCTGTAAGTAGCCTCTCTTCCGAACTGTAGGAGCTTGTGTCAGCCATCTGAAATAGAAAAATTTATGTTATATAGAGGTGACAATATTTTCGGTGCACCTAGTATTATGGTTTATAAA